TAATTCCCTTCCTCTCATGTCCTTCCCCTTCGTCCAGTGCAGAAATCCGTTTTCATGGGTTTGGAAGATTCGTGCCATCAAGTCCGTGTCTCATAGTTTCTGAGAGAAACCAATGTTCAACACCGCCGGGCTCCCTGTTCCTGTTCCTGTTCCTTGTCCTGTACTATCGTACAACATCATCATCCCAGTCGTAAAAATCGTAGCAAGCCCGCAAACTATCCACCACACACACACACACACACACAATATAATCTTTCGCCCCAAGTAAGACGTAAACCCTTCAATCAATCACAATAGGCGAGTCCTTCACCCCAAACTGCACCGGCTCCGGCGAGGGACCAAGCGACATCGTCCTCGATCGGGACCGGTACCGGTAGTACGACAGCGGCGTGTCGGGGGTATCTGAAATCCTGGGCGCCTCGGGCACATCAGCCATCTCGATATCGGAGTCCCCGTAGAACTTGATCTCGATCTGATCATCCTCGTCGTCCTCGTCGAGCATCATGGCGTTGTCCTCGGAGTCTCCCTGGATACCCAAGGGCGATGGCGACATCGCGATCGGAGCAGGGACACGACGCGGCGCCGGGGCAGGCGACTCGGTCAGGATTACCACTTCTCTTCCGCCGATGCTGCGTCTCGCATCTCGAGCCGTGGAGAGGCCGTCTTCTGCCAGAAGCCAGTTCTTCAAATGCTCATAGAGGGGTCGCACCACACAGGCAGGGAAAGCATTCCCGATTTGCTTCTTCAGGGCAGACTTCGGCGCCTCGGCGAAGTGGTGCCAAAAAGGGAAACCTTGTAGATTGGCAAACTCACGAACCGTGTACGCTCTGGTGTTTGACCAGTGCATGTTTTGACCTCCGGAGCAGGTGACACATCTCTTCAGAATTTGGTTAGGATCGGAGACGACAGAACCGACAGGCAAGGTGTTCCTGATCTCATTCTCCGGGTTGTGAAAGGTAGAGTCGTCCCTGATGTTTTCGAGGGCTTCCTTGATGGTCACGTACTTCAACAGACCACCGGCACCCGTCTCGGAGTGAGTTGCTCTGGGGAAAGGAGGCAACTTCTCCCCGGGGCAGGCGCCAATCATTATCAGTCTCTTCCGAACTTGAGGGAGACCCCAGGTCTGGAGGTGGACTACCTTCCAGGTGACAGAGTACCCAAACTCGGTGAATCCTCCTACAAGAGAGTTGAAGAATGGGGCGTATGCCGATTGCATGATGCCGAAAGTCTGTTCCAGAGTGAAGACACGGGGCCGGATCTTTTCAACCAAGCTCCTGCATGCGAAAAGGGAGGCAATGTTGGCCTCGTCGTTCTGGCCGGCAACCGTATGGGCTGGTGACCACGTCTGGCATGGTGGCGATAGGTGTAGGATATCAGCCCTCATTGGGACATCCTGCTGAGTAAGAATGAACTCATCCACCGTCATCTCGAACAGATTGGTGTCGGGGAAGTTCAGGCGATAAGTATTACACGCCCTATCCCAGGAATCGACGGCGTATTCAATCTTCACGCCTGCCCGCTCGGCGCCTCTCGAGAAACCGCCGGCGCCGCAGAACGAGTCAAAGACTGTGTACTTCTGCTTCTCGGCAGGTTGTCCAAGCACCTGGGGTTGCGCCTCCGGATTATGTGCGCCTCCATGGATCGTCAAGCCTCTCCAGTCAGATCTCAGCTGGTCCTCGGAAACACTGAAATCTTCGCGCTTCACTTCCTCGGCTCTGACACGCTCCAGTGTCCAGTGATGAGCTTTGCCTTTCCTCTTCTCTTGAGCGTGTCGATAGTGAACGAAGTACTTCCACCGGCACACTAGCGGGCCTTCCTTCTCGACTGCTGCTACGTTGACGAAGGCTTTCGGATCGTAGCGATGGTGCGGGTAGAGAGCGTTTGTCATATGGAGGCTTCGGGGAGGTCCGATAATTGCCGAGAAAGGCACTTCGATGACCGCCTGCTCGTTGATTGTTCTGTCGTCGGTTTCATCCAGCTCGTAAACGATGGCCACCTCATTCAGCTTTCGCGGCAGCTTTGCCATCAGCGACCTCACCCTGACGAATGGCAGACCGCTGATGACAAAGTTGTTTGTGTTTAAGTTCTCAGTGATGCTATGCACCAAGAGGAACTGTGGGTCCAATGCTAATTTGGGGCATTGGCCCGGATCGAGCTCATACAGTCTCTTGAGCCTGATGGTGGTTTTGCCAATCTTTATGCTCTCGTGTTGACACTCGGGGTCTTTGGGGCGAGGAGCTTGACGACGCTTTCGAGGAACTCGGACGATTGGGTCATCGTCGACCGTAAGGTCAATCAGGCCCTCGAGCTCCTGGGTAGCGATGTCCTCTTCTTTCAGTTCCACCACATCGAAATCACTGTTGACGGTGATGATCGAGTTTACTCTGCCTTGAGGGCGGTAGGCGTTGACTCTGCGCTGCCATTCGTTTGTGGTTGGGTCCTCAAAAGTATGATCATCGTCGACAAGAATAGCAGCGGAGGGGCTACTGCCTGAGCATGCAGTAGTAGCCATTGCTGAAGGTTTGACGACTGGCTCTTTCGTCAGCCGGAGTTGTAGTAGAAAGTGAGGGAAGTTTATCACGAGGTCGCCCCTTGCCTGCGTTGGTGATGTGTAGGTCTCAGACAGGAATGAAGCGCTTCCAGAAGATGATGAAATGTGTATGAGAGGGAGTCCGTCTTCGAGTCCGACGAGCTGTTGGTCTCAGCCTGAATGATCCTGGTGAGACTACTCTTCTCTTGACTATAGTTGAACTGTTTGTTGAGCCTTGCCTGCAGATTGTTGATGCTAGACCAGGTCTGTGGTCACTCGAATCTCAGTCGCGCCTCTCGGGATGTTACCGAAACGAAAGGTCGAGGAGCTTCAGTGGAAGAGTTGAAAGTGGTAAACGCCTACTGGGTGTCAATTTCTCAGCCTTGAGAAGAGGATGCCGAGTAATTGGGCTTGAGGGGTGGAAGTTGCCCTCTAGGCAAGAGGTAGGGCTTCGACCTTCCAAGTAGAAGACGCGGTAGAGAAGAATTGGGGGGGGGGGGGGGGGGGGGGGTTGAGCGCTGAGAAGCTGTTGACACGAATCGAACTTGTGAAGAGGATCCGGATCGTCTAGGTTATTGATGGACTGCGTGAGATTGATTGGGAAGATCACTGTCATAAGGTACTTCCTCGCCTCTATTTAGACTACCCCGAGTTGCTCTCGCCCTCAATTCTCATTGCTATACGTCACCCCTTAACTTGAGAGCAGGGCAGAACAACAGATGTGAAGTCCACCAAGTCGAATATCACACATTTCAGTGTTACATCAAGGTCCAAAGCTAACCTTGAGCCCTAAGATTAGCAGGGTAAAAGGCATGTCACATTATGATGCCTTGAGCCCCACCATCGTATTCTTGATAAGGTGTGTTACATTTCTCTCAGTGAATCGGATATCAACAAATAGCTTATAGTGACTCAAACTGTCTTTCAAGTCTTTGTTTGCATGTCTTGAGTCTTCCTTGCGGGCCTTGGCTCCTTTCACTAACGATCACCATGAACGATCAAGGTGGTTCTGGAGGCCCTTTCTATACCATCCTCTATCTCTTCCTTTGACACTCAAATGCTGCTAGACTGACGCAGTAACTTTTTTTTGTCTCAGAAGTGCTTTACTGAGAATCATTGAGAAGTACAATACCGTCGGTAAATACCGAACGAAGAGGCAGAGACGAGGGAGATTAGGTACACACGCCCATTGGTACTTTCCTACGTAGCTCGAATCCCTTCCTTCCTACAATCAACTGAAAACCCCACCGGGCTACTGTCTACCTACCCAAGTACCTTAGGTAGGTACCCATTCGTCCCTTTGGACAAGGTACTAGGTACGTATTTAGGATTAGGAAGAAGACCTCGCTTATTCCATCAGTGATACACACCTGTGATTCACGCTTTCAACCAACTTCATCCCAACCTCGCCCCTCAAAGCGATTCACGACAATCCCTTCAATTTTTATACACCAACCCGAAGAAACGTCTCCGCAAACCAAATGCACGACATCTCAAGGACATTCGGAACATCAACCACAATCCTCGCTATCACGTTCCTATCCGCCACACATTCCCCTTTCCTATAGCTGTAAAGGAGGGCAGCTTGCATTCGCGCTATTTCACTACAATCGATCAAGACCTAACACTCTCCTTGGACTCTTAGTCTTTGACAATCTTTGAAGTCTTGACCTCCTGACCTCTTGACCTCCTGGCCTCTTGTCATTATGCAAACTCGAAGTGCTACCAGGCGAGCTGCCCGGGCACTTCTTCTCCCTCTAGTTGAAGCAGAAACGTCCAAACCGTCTCTTAGTAAGTGTGCCTCCTTGAGAGTGTTCTAGCTCTAATAGACAAAGCAGCAACACGTTCAGCAGTAGATGAGAGAACGATCTGTTCACCGGGAGATAAAAGAACAATCCAATTGCCAGTTGATGCAAGAGCAATCCAATTCCCTATGGACGCAGAAGCGACCAAATTGTCAATTTACGAAGAAATGATGTGTCCGCCAGTAGATGAAGTGGCGTTCCAACAAATTGCTACCCAAAATACCGCCCCAGAGAGTCTTTCAGAGCCAGCAGACCAAGAAAACGTGCGTTCACCAGAAGAAGGGGGAACGTTTAAGCTGACTTCTATCAAGCCCACTACCAACAAGACACATTCAGTGGACACAAGAATGTCCCAACCGACTGCTACTGGAGTGAAGAGACCCGCTGATGACAATGAACGAAATGGCGGTCATCCACTATCAAACAAGCGCTTGAAAGACGCAACCAAGAACATATCACCTATCCATGAGATCAGGGCAGATCTTCACCATGGCTTAGGGACTCACATCCCCAACCTGAAGGTCGCCAAAAGAAATGACTCCTCGTCGCCAAACAGCTGCTCTGAAGACTCTGCGCTGAAGAGACACAGTATGACTGCAGAAGACCTTGAGAAGGCTTCCAAGAGGTACCGGCGATCAAAGAAGTCGACAAAAAACAACACGAATATGATCGAGGCAGACGGAGAGGCGGTAGATCCAGCAGAAACCGAGTCAAATTCAGTGTCAGAGTCTGACTCAGTTGGAGACACGGATTCGGAGGCTGATCAGAAGGTCCCCAAGGACTACGGACTGATGCCAGGAGAGACGCCATACCGTGACTGGCCTGGACCAAGTGCAAGGGAGTGTCAGGTCGTCTACGACATCCTCGCTCAGGAATATAAGCAGAGAGAGCAGAGTGAAGAGCCTGCAAAGCGCAATGCACTCAACTTTATCCAACCAGCCAGGATACCGCCAGCTTCCGCTAACGTCGCTGGATGTGGAGAAGTGCCATGCTTGGTTGATGCTATGATAAGAACAATCATCAGCCAGTCTGTCACTCGAGAAAGCGCCGACAAGGTGATAGAGAATATTATCAAGCTGGTTGGTATGCTTGACGAGGACGGATCTGGTTCAGCGGGCATTAATTGGAATGCTCTTCGACATGCACCGAGGGATGCAGTGTTGGAGGCCTTCCGACCAGGTGGACTTGGTCCCACGAAGTATAAGGCTATCAAGACTTGCCTGAAGATAATTCGCAAAGATAATAAGAAGAGGGCCAAGACTTACCTGGAAGACAGCGAAACGGGAAAAACAGCAGGATTGGGACGAGACCAGAAGGATCACCAGCTGAGCAAGATCAATGCGGGCATACTGACACTGGATCACATCCGAGTCATGGAGCCACATGAAGCAATGCTGGAACTCGTCAAGTACCCCCAGGTTGCAGTGAAGACTGCTTCTTGTCTTCTTCTCTTCAACCTACAGATGCCCAGTTTTGCGGTTGATACCCATGTGCATCGGATGACCAGATGGCTGGGATGGGCCCCCATGAAGGCGAACCACAACGACACGTATATGCACTGCGACTTTCGGGTACCCGACCACCTTAAGTACGGACTTCATCAGCTGTTCATTGAGCATGGAGGAAATTGTTTCCGCTGCCAAGGGAACACTGTGGAAGGAACTGAGAAGTGGCACAGTACCGTCTGTCCACTCGAGCACCTTCTGACCCGTGTCAAGAAACAAAGCCAGGCGAAGGTGAAGAACAAGACTGTGAGAGATTCAGGCACCCTTGATGAGTGGGTGCAAGTTACCAAACCTGAAGCCGATGGATGAGCGGCGGATTAGACAAACTCATCGCTAGCCCGGGGGTAGAGATCATGGGTTCCTTGGGACCAAAAAAAGAACGTTGCATTGATTCTACGCGACTGGATCTATCCTCGAGATGGAGCATCCGCGAAGGATACATGGCAACAAAATAGTATATTCTAGGGGAGAAATCTGGAGATCTGTCATCAACTTCGGATTCTGATTCGCACTTACAGCATGATATGATGAGTCCACGAAGTTAGGAGGGTATTTGGGCGGTATATTTATTTGGGAGATTTGATTGCGGTTCGGTGGGAGACAAACAGATAGCTCGAGCAAAACTTTCCTGCGAACTGGCGGGGAGTGGCATAGATTTGAAACCATCATAGAGACTCCTTTCGTGTCATTGATATTTCGAAATTTCCACTATGCCACACATTCTTGTTCTTTTTGCAACGACATGAGCCCGAGAGACCTCCTTGCTGTTTGGGACAACTTCGTCGACGAGGTATACCTATAAGAGTGACACAGGTGACGGCTCATTGCTCCAGAGGTGGTGGAGTGGATAAGAGCGTCCAGTCGCGGATATCCAGTCATCTCGGCCTTTCGTGTTGCATTGCTGGCACCAAATTTGGACGAAAATCGGTGTGATCCAAGGAAGCCAGAATGAATATCTGGCTTTCAGAAGTCGGCATCCTTGGTGCATAGCTACCTTTATTGATCTCTGACACGGAATCATCATCATATGCCAAACTGAAGTCATTCATGGTGTTGTTGAAGAATGCAGGGTCCAAAAGCCCATCACGGCCCTGAGCAGTTGAATGCATGGAGGTGGTATTTAAGGTATGGTCTGTGCACCCACAGTGAAAGCCTCCTTGTTCCTGTGCCACAGCATTGTCAAAGTTAGCCACTGCACAAACTCAAGTACTCCGCCAGCCTGCCACACACCACCATCAATGAGGTACCTCACGATGGGTCAAGTCTCCACCCCCTGTCGACACGCTTTAATGGGAATTTGACGCCTAGCCGCGTCCTGGCCGGGCCGGAGCGTGTCACTGCCATTTTTGCAGCCCACTTCCCTGGCTTCACCTTTTAATTGTCGTCAACTACCTTCTTTTCCCCTCCAACAACCAACCTAGAAGATCGTGGGCTTTCCCTTTCCTTCCCGCGACCTTCCTCCCTCCAAACTCGTCGTTCCCTACAGAGGTCTCTTCCGCTGACGCCTACTCTTTTTTTCTCTTCGCGACGCTTCCTCCGTTTGCTTGACCTCGAGACCGTTTCTATCGCAACGCCAGGCAACCGAAGAGATACAGCCACAAAAACCGACGATCTATCGACTCGCCGACGCAGGACACATCACGTGTATCTCTCGAGCTGATATCCGCAGATTCTGACTTTGCTTCACTCTTGAATCGCGCGCAAGGTCCAGTCATCCCATTGCCTTTCCTCTTGGACGCAAGACCACGACGAGTCCTTCTTTCCGAATTCACCTCCACTACTGAAGCTCCTCCGCCTTGCGCGTCGCGATTCACCCAACGCAAACCATCGAGCTACCTTGCGCTTGCCCGAACTGAGCCGCCCTCACGATATGCCTCGACGGGCTCGATCACTGCAGTAAAATGGAGTCACAACCGGTCGAGGATATCCTCGAGGAGAGCTATCGGAAGTTCACCCAGATTCCCCCCGACTTCCACCTTCTCTGTCCGAAGGTCGATGAGGATGATTTTGAGGACTACGACAGCCTGAACACTGATGGCGAAGACATCACAGCTCTAGAGAAGAAGGAGAGAGTAGAAAAGTGGAAAGAGCGGCTCGACATTGCCTACTGGACTAGTCTTCTCCTTGCCTATGGCAAAGATAAGGCCGGTGTTTGGCTCGACGCCTGGGGCAGCCGGATGGCTATTAACCTCCACAACTGCGACAAGTGCGTCCTCAACTGGCACATGTATCGGAAGAAGTATCTTCAAATCTTTTCCGAGTAAGTCTAGACTGACCAGAACGCCACAAGAAATCGCCATGACCATACTAATCGCACCTTAGAAAATGGCCAGAGGAAGCCGTCGCTGGCATCGAAAACTGCCTCCACCGCTTCGATTTCGACCGAATCGACAAAGGTCTTCAATGGGCCAAAGACATCATATTGAAGGTTGAGAATGAGGGCCGCGCCTTTGCGAGAAGCGACTTAGGCGAAGAACAGGGCGCAGTCTTGCTCACTGTTTACGAGGCTCTATGCTGTATGGCATACGTCAGCGTGCCGGAGAAAAGAACTCTGTTCCAGTTCGTCTTCGTCCGCCTCTCTGGCAAGAAGCCACTGAAGCTGGGTGAAAACGTCCTGCTTCCCGCCATGACCCAGTTCCTTTTCGGAGAAGACAAGATCCGCCTCCAATTCGCTGAAAAGTCATGGGAGCGCCTCCGGCCAAAGTCTCTGACACAGGAGCAGTTCAACTGGGCTATCCACGACAACTTGGTGGTTGCCATTCAGTCAGTTTCAGCACTCAACCCCAGAGATCCCGCCTCCCTTCCGGAGATCGAGCGTTTCTGGAAAGCCGTCAACTGGATCATCAAGACTCTGGACGAGAAGCTCTTGTTGCACGGCATTCGGGGTATGGAGATCAAGCCGAGCATCTACGACTTGCTTTTCGTTCATATGCATTGCGAGTCGGAGGCGATTTTGCTGCTCATTATCCAAGCGTTGACTGTCCTGCTCGAAACGTCTCCGCAGGCTTTCTGGGACACCATCGGTGACGCGAGGCCATTCGTCGTCATTGAGCAGCTCCTCTCCCAGCCTTTGTTCAAGCAGCTGCTTGCGCAATCTTTGACCTTCGCCATCAGTTACGACGATGGCACGGGCAAAAATGACTCGGTCGAGTCAATCACGACTTCGTGGATCAACACATGGATTGCCTCGCTCAAGCGTCAGCAAAAGGGCGATGCCTGCGAACAGCTGCTTCACCTGCTTTTTGAGCAAGTCATCCACGACGCTAGAATTGGCGAGCAAGGAAAGGCCGCTTGCATTAGGGCTGGCTTAGATGCTCTAGATCACGTCCTACGGTCATTTTTGGACCCTACCATTGATGTCATTTCAGGCACCACATCCGTCTACATCAACACAATTCTCAACGTCACTCTCAAGTACAAGGATATCATCAACGAAGGAGCGGACACCAGAAGCACAGATCAACACACCCTCGGTGTGCCCAAGGCAGCCATGAGCGTGATCAGTGCCGCCTTGAGCTTGGACTCCAGAGTCACTGCTGAGGAGCATCTCGAACTTCGCAAGGCTACGCCCAAGCCAATCCAGACGGCCGTCACGCGTAAATCAGCAGACTTGTGGGACGGATTTCTGGAGAACCTTTACGAAGGCAAGCTCGTCCTGGCTAAGACTATGCTCATGGCCATGGCTCCTCTGATCAACGTAGAGAGATTCTATCCTAATAGGAAAGAACCTGAAAAGTTGGACGCGGCGAAGAAGAGCTTCAACACCCGTTTCCACATGGTCGCGGAGGCACTCGGACGCGTCCTACAGCGAATGTGCGAGTTTACATCACCGCAACTGAACGAGCTGTGTCTCATGGCCCAGAGCATTCGGCCCATCATTGCATTCACAGTCCACGGCGAGGATGAAATCAGTAGTGCCAGCGCCGAACTTATCAAGTTAATCACCGAACAACCCTCCAAGGAGGATGCACTCACCGTTTTGCTTGAACGGAACCTCAGCACCACTCTCTCTTCCATGATCTTCGCAATAAGAAGAATCATGGAGCCGTCGCACGCAGCATGGGGACCCGCTCGCAATATCATCAATACCGCCAAAGTTGTGCTCTCAGGTCTCAGTGATCTTTCGTCTGGTATTCTCAGGTCCAGAACTTTGGACAGCAATGAACAGATCGCTGTCACTGGCTGGTGGGTTGCTCATTGGAGATACATTGAGGTCGCGTTCACATCCACCGCCAACTGGTCTCATCTTGCCGAGATCAAAGTGATGCAGGACTTTTGCCGCGATGTCATCGAGTTGGCCGACGGCATGCTTGCCCAGGATGGTCTCTTCGCATCGGCGCTGCAAGCTACTACCGCGCAGACCGATGCGAAGCAGGCAAAGCCGAAAGAGGAGGAGCTGACCAAGATGCAACAGCTTCTGAAGGATCCTCAGCGTCATCTCTTTGGCATCGTTAGGATGCTTCGTCTGAGAGATACCTACCTGGTTGAAGTCACTGTGAAGGTTGTGGCCAAATTACTGACCAGACTGCGAGAGAACGAAATCGATATCCCCAGTGACTCCAAGACTTATGTTCAAGACTCTTGCGTCAAGTCATCCGCAACTGGCCGCTATCCAGTCTCTACCAACATGAACGACCAGCAGCGTGCCGAGCTTCTGAAAGCCCTCGGTGAAGATGATGATGTTGAAATCATCCAGATCCAGCCGGTTACCAAGCCAAAGAAACAGAGTTTCCTTGATGCTTGGTCGAAGTCTGGTTCTTCAACGCCAGCTTCCCAGGCCGCTCGGTCAAACAAGGACGACGTTATCGAGCTCAGCAGTTCCGTCGACAAGAAACGATCAATCTTGGACCAAATGGCCGCTCGCCAGAAAGCGTCGCCAACCATTCCCCGAATGGCCATTAAGCCCAAGCTTGAACCAGTGGTCACTCAAGCATCGAAGAACGCCCTCATTGAGTCGCGCAAGAAAGCCAAATTGGAGAAAGCTAAGAGAGATGCCGATGAGGTTGCAAGAGTTCGCGCTCTCCGAGGAGCCGCCAACGTGGGTGAGGGCTCGGGGCTGAAGGGCCTTAGTGGTGTAGTTGGCAAAGAACACACAGCGCAGAAGAGTCAAATCCTGGTCGACAGCGACGAGGAAGACGAGGATGATTCTGGAGATGAGGATCTCAACAACCTCATTAACAAGGGACAGCAAGGCCAAAAGGCAGTTGATGAGGCCCAAAGACGGCGCGAGCGGGCACTGCTTGAAAAGACGCGAGGCCCAGTCAAGAAGGTAAAGGTACAACGTTCTGCCAAGGATATGCGTGCGCGTT